AATTGCCCCAGATAGTGAAGCAGCACCAAATTTGAAGAGGGCTGGATGTAAGTCATCCAGGGCCTACCACAGAAGATGTCTTGCAACTTTTTAAAAGTTTTAACACATCACAGTATGAGAGTGGTAACCAAATGTCTTTGTAACGCTGTAGATGTCTCAATGTCGCATATGCCAGCTAACTCTTCTGTTTTTGTGCCGAAACTTCATCCGTGAGATGTATCTTTTTAAATAAAAGAGAGTAGTTTTCTTTCCCTCTTACTTCCTTGAGACTGAAATTGGGAGCTGACTCAAACCAATCCTGCTACAGTGGTTTGCACTTTGGGGTGGAAAACCTACAATGTTATCTGTGCACCCTGGACCAGATAGCCTGACACGTAGGAGCATATCTGTGCCGCTGTCCTTACACCAGTAGAGGACCGTTTCCAGAATTCCACCTATTACAAATGAAAGATAGGCCAACCTGGTGCACGCAGCATTCCATAAACAAGGAAGAACCTTTTGCTCCAACTCAACTTCGGCTATAGAGAGATCTTATTAGTGAAGTGAACCTATACGACCTCCTTTCAAGGAGAGTCGGTTCCTGAGGATAGTGTGTCGTCAGAGTCTGACTCTTAACAATATACGTTCCTTATCCACAGCTTTTGGCCAGTGAGAGTAGCAGCGTTGAATGGATTCCCGCAATCGCTAGCTAATAGCAATATAGTCGAGTTGAGTCCACCGCTGAAAAAGATTGAATGGATTTTCTTCATGTAATGTAATGTTGCTTCTTGTGCGAGAATTTGGTGCGTGGTAGGGACAATCCGTGGTCTGTAAACAAATCAAGTAGGTTATCCCCTTTGTCTGATCCGGTTGGCTAGAATTGCATGTGGGCCGCCTAAGTGCCTTTCTAGTTTGTCCGGATATCCTATTTGAGCCATAAAGTCGCCGGCAACAACTAAGATGCTAGTTAAGCGAACACTTCAGAACAGTCACGAGAGGGAAATGATGGCCAAATTATCAGCCCGGAGGACGTGTTCACATCCTGCCACCACCACCTAACTTTCCCCATTGTTTGTTGTATGGCAGCCCTTTGATTAGCCTCTTCCTGGAAGTTTTATCTTTGTACACTCAATAAAAGGAAGCAAAAGTTAAAAATAAATGAGTAATCCTTCATTTCAGAGGGTTTACAATCAGTCAGCCTGGTTACGGATACGACGAATAAGCAGCGACGCTTTGTTCTGATGCTGCTAATCGGTCGAGACGCTCAGCTCACAATCGACTACTGACTGATATCAATCGACAAGAAGTCACTCAGCAACATCCTGACACTTGAAAAGTATCAGTTCCAATTTGTACAACTATGAACCATGCACTTTCGTGCACCGGTTTTGAGTACTGTCTGTTGACCGCCCATTTGGACGAACAGTAGGAGAAAGACAGGAATGTTGAAGGTAGAGTCGAAGAAAAAATTGAGAACTCCACTGGGAAAGTTGGGCATCATGATGAAATTAGGTATGAAGAACGCAGTGAAACATTTTGGGTGGGTTCATATACGCGTGTGTCGGAAACCCACCATACGTCAGAATCGGAAGTTTCCAATAACTGTTTAAGTTCTTAGTGGGATCCCTGATTGTCGGAAACCAGTGTTATCTCATGTGTTTTTAATGTAAAATGAGGAGCTTGACAGACGAGAAAGAGGGTTTTCGAAATCGTTGCCTAATGTCTAAAAGCACAACATCTGTCTATTTTCTAATACCTTGCCACCCGTTATAAGGATATATGGCTTGTTTTGTAGCGTTGGCAACACATCTGAATCAAAGACACCCTGTTCTGTGTCTAGCTTAGACCAATCCGTTTCTGAAGTTTTGTCTCTTCAATTCATTTTTCTCAAAATTTCAGCAATGCTGCACAGAAGTCCGTGTTGAAATACCACTGGTTATCATGTTTCTGTGCTTCTACCCTACTGAATAAATCACAGTCAAATTGACTGTTGCCGTTTTGATCCCATAAATAACCTAGATATTCTATCATTGCAAATGCAATCTGTATGTGTGACACAATTTCATCCTTCAATACTGCCATCTATGGTGTAGACTAACCGATTTCCGAAACGTTGTTTCGCTCTTTGAATGTTACAAACCGCGTGCCATCTGTAGCTGCACTCTGTCCTTTTCTGTTCAAAAGAACTCGAAGCACATTTGAGACCACGTTCGTTACCCGTCAAACTACAATAAAATAGACATCTTTTCACATAGGAATGCTTCGCCACCCTTACCTTTTGACTGAAATGTGATTCTTCCGAACATCCTGTGTACTTTCATGCCATTGAATCATGTGAATTCATTCCCATCTGTACGAATCAGTGTTGTTTGTGTGAGACGATTTTTGTTAAATTTGTTGTGCTCAGTTAACTTGAATGCGTTAGCCTGTTAATCGCACCTGAAGGCTGCACAGATGTTTCACTGTCAGTTGTGCAAGTCCGTCGAATCCACTAGAATTCAAACCTGGACACAAGAAGTTATCAATCTGGTAAGCTAACCATTTGGAATATCCGTGTCGACTCCCAGTCGACCGATCTGGTGTACTTGGTCATTCGGTACATGTGCACTATTCGTTACGGTCGCATGATCCGATAGTTTGGACACCGACTTCTGTCGAACTGTGGTTTTCATACACCAACCATGTGGGTCAGCCATTGGTTGACCGAAGGCTGCGGTTTTTAAACCCTATGCGGATTATCGGATTTATCTAGGCCAACGGAGTAGTATCGCACTCACTAAGCCACTTACTAAATTAGTCTCTGTCATAATGTGTGTAAAAGTATTTGTTCGACACATGCATGAAAATGCATAGCTAATGGTTGTAACAAGTGAACCGAACTGAGATAAATATGAAGTACTCCTTGTTGGCAGTATACGACAGCTCGTACCTGTCACTTTCGTTCGACAAACCGGTCTGTGATAGATTTTTTAATCCAAACCTTTGTTCCGGGGTCTTAGTGCGACCGCGCAATAAATCGAAGCCTACTGTACGTAGTTTTGTTGATGTGAAACGGATCCCCCCCCCGCACTTCTGAATATTACTTTCCCGAGAATAAGTGTCACTGAGTCACCAAAGTCGTCGTCTGGCAAACTCCAGTTCGTCAATTTTCGGTTACACATAAACGTTTTCAATGCTGTCTGTGATACCTATCACGAGTAGCGTGTTGCATTGACTACCTATCATGCCTGAGCTCGAATCAAAGCGGATTCAGTTTCTACACACTATTCCTAGCAAACACGGAACAGCTGGTTTGCGTGACAGAACAGTAGGTCCTTGTAACAATGGAGTGTACCCCGGTTGCTGTTCAGCACACAGATGTGTAGTCAAAAAACTGTACTGCGACAAGTCAACTGTGTACGAGGAATCCACCTTTCTTGAGCACTATTGTTGTTCAACGTATTTTCTTTTTTATCATCAGGGCTACGATAGACGATTTCTGTCATGTCATTTTACTGGAATCTGTTCGTTTTTACCCATTTTGTGATCAACCGTCAGTCTAACTCCTGTCATCCTTCTTTTGATTCCAGGTAATCCTACCGTAAGTCCCGAATCAGCCTCTGTCTCTACCTTCGAATTGAACGGGAAAACCGTGCAAATGCACTACGCAAACACTGTCTGGTCGATTGATGAAAGTTGCCTGGTCTGTTGCTGTTCAACTGAGGAATCCAGTCCGTGCCCATTGTGGCCTTCTTGTGACACACTGAGACCTCACTGGGAAGACAAGATGTCCACATTGGGTAAACTTCAGGTGAGTACATCTGATGTGAACGCTTGTAAGTCACAATTTAATCGGACCCACATTAAAACAGCGCTGAAAGTTTACCTCTTGGGTGTATTGACTTGACTGGATTATGCGGGATACATTACGTCACAAGGAGCACGGCACTTTTTCACTCGAGAAGTTTGTTTCAATATTACAATCCCTCTACAATAATAGCCGAAGCCGAATTCGAGCGTAGGGCACTTTTTCACCCGAGTTCACCACGGAAAGTGGTGTTCGACAGGGTTGCCCTCTCTCTCCATTTCTATTTAACAGCTCTATCCTCGTGCGAGGATAGCGGTATCGATTCACTTCCGGGTGGCAGACTGTCTGATCTAGAGNACGACATTGTGCTACTAAGTGAAGATGCAGGTAAGTTGCAAGCATTTCTGGATAAGTTGAATGCCAGTGTAGCCATATTCGGTATGCATTTTGCACCTTCAAAGTGTAAAATGTTACTACAAGACTGGGTTGGTCCAGCACCCAGCCTCACTCTAACTGGGGCAGTAATAGAGCAGGTGGATAATTTTTTGTTATTTGGGCAGCTATATCTCACCCGGTGGACGCATCACGGATGGATTGTCAGCTCGCATACAGAAGGCTCGGTTGGCATTTGCCAACTTGAGACATCTGTGGCGCTGTCGCGACATCCGGCTGTCTGTGAAGGGTCGAGTGTATGCCGCG